GTCTTTTTTACACATAACCGTCATCAAGAGAGTATGAGTCTCAGGACTGAAATGACCAAGAAACTGCAAAGATAGAAAGCTTCAATGTCTGGAGTAACTTGTGAAAAAATCACTCTTGATGTGTTATTCATTTTATCATGTATAAAATCTGGATAATTTCAATAGTGTGTTTTTATTAGTAAGGATGAAAGATGAGAATTAGTGTTTGTTTTAGTCTCCAATTCCCATGTATGTGTCATGTAAATGTGAAACACTAATGATGAGTAGTAAAATTACTTTTACTCCATTGACTGTTAAAATGTAGCTGTGATTCAGTGCACATTCAATTCATGCGAAGAAAACGGAAAATGACCGATATGAATTTAAAAAAAATACTGTACAGGAACAATCTGAGTTTTGAAGAAACATGCTGTTAGACATGATAACTGTATGTTGTAAAGGAAACGTAGGTTTGATTCTTGCTTTGTATATCTGTTGTTGTGAAGTTTGCATGCTCCATCTATTTAAAAGTGGGCTTTTAATCAGTGCTCTAGTTTCTTGCTAATTGGACACACTATTTAGGTTTGATTGCCTATTCTAAGTTATCCTTTTTTTACATAGCCCTGTCATTGATTTGGTTTCTGAACTAAGGGCATGAGCAGTTGTTTATTTTCAGTTCTGCTTTGCATCCAACATCACTCCCAAAAAACGTGACGACTAGGTTAACTGCTGTCTCTAAATTGTCTCTGTGTATGGGATCTTTGATGGACTAGTGTTGCATCCACAATGTAGTACTGCCTTGTGCCCTGTGCTTCTGGGATAGGGGAAGGGTTGCCATGATGCTCTACAGGATTAAGCAGGTTTCTGATCATAGATGAGTCTGATATCTGTGTGATCATGAAAGTCATATAGTATAGCATATGTTATTCCAAGGTTGGATATTAAGAATGGCCTTGCGTTAGTTTCTGTATATGATTTTAGGGTGTTATTTTCTAAGCTTTTTGATTTTGAGAATGAGAACAACATCTCTTAAGTATCAGGTGCAATGTGAATACTGTGGTAGATACTGCTTTTAGCTACCAAGGTATGAGTAATAATAAAGACAACAAAACAAGTGTAGTTTAATAGTAGCAAATTATTTTTACACTGATCCTTCATTTACCATGAGAAAATGTAAATGTACTATCAAGACAGAACAAGCTACAGTGTGTTGTGTGTTAATGTAACCCACAATAAAGGGTTGTAGAGGACTAGGTACAGAAAAAAAAGATCTTACTAGCTTCAAACCCCTAAACCTTTAATTGAATCCATTAAAATATTATGTGCCTATATGAAAATCTAGTACAGTTGAAGGTGATCTGTTAGCAACAGTATCTCAAAAACGGCAAGCGCTGAAGATGTATTGCAAAATAATACAATATTATCTCATAATCACACAAAAATATTTTTGTCTTCTGTGGCACTAACATGCTTCTATAGAAATCAGCATTGTGAAGCAAATCAATTTGTTGAGAAAACAGAAGGTGCTATACTAAGTTGCACCACCATTTGTTTCTGTGATCCATGATGGCTTGGGTCCATATTTTTTGTTGGACGCTTGTGATTTTAGTGCCCTCTTGTGATTACTGTCTTCCAAATTGACTCTTTGGCTATGCCTACTATCGGTGTATTCCAAATTTCATAGTTTCATGTTGCACAGTTTACTGTTTTGTATGACTAGGCCAGACCTTTATGATCCTAAGATTTTCGTTCCAGCTGAGCTTTTGATTATATAATTGAACCGCAAATTTAAATAGCTAGACCTTTTTGAGTCTTTTTCAATTTGGGAACTGGCAGATATGTTAATTTACCTACCAAAATTGCAAATATGAAAAAATTATTAAAATGGTCACATTATTTGTAGAAATGTGAAGTTCAATTAAGAAACTGAAAAGATAGCTGAATTGAAAGCTCACTGACACTTAGGTCAACATAATCAAGATTGAAAATGCCCAGATTAGCCAAACCAGTTTCTCTATACCCACTCCTCTACAACTGCAGGATTTTACATTTTACTGAGTAATCAAAGCTCTGTGGGAGGAAATGAGAAAACTAATTTACTCAGTGAGAGTGGAAATAAAGTGTTCACATAATCATAATTTCAGATATATATTAGACCTAATCAAATGCAACATTATTTTTTATTTGAATAGCAACTTTTCTCTTGATTGTATAATTGGAATAATCCAAGGGCTATTATAGAGAACTATCAATTTATGAACACTTTAAATGTAACATTAGGTAGTCCAAAAACAATAATTAGTGTCTAAGAAACCACTTCAAATGAACAGAAGTCATGTCATTTTTAAAATACAACAGCAAACCTATGAAAAAGTTGTAAATATTCATAATAATAATTTGTTACACTTATTGTATATAACACTTTTCTGGACACTCCACTCAATGCGCTTTACAGGTAATGGGGACTCCTCTTCACCACCAGCACCTACCTGGATAATGCTACGGCAGCCATTGTGCGCCAGTACTTAGTAAATATTAGGTAAGCTAGGTTGCTTCATGTTAGAAGCACGCTAGATACACACACAACTTTGTGTCATTTATTGTATAACTTTTCAGTTCACTTGTATGACATAATTTGTCATATGTATGGTATGTTGATTTTGTATTCACTGTAGGCATAAAGGAGATCACTAAGATGCTCTCTCATTCTTGATGGTTGTTATCTATGGATGTAGCCCAGTCAAATCAATCACACTTAATCAAATGGTCAGTCATTTCACACAGGTATCGTTATTTGCTCCTGCATGCATGCAGTCACAGTGTTAAATTGATGAAACTCCATGTGCTTAGTTGCAGCTTTAGATTTGGTAAAACAATGTGGTGCAAGATCAAAGCATGTTTTCACTGAAATGTTCTGATTGGAAGCTATTGAGAATGGTGTTGAAACATCGCCTTGCTTGTGTTTGTTTTTGCAAAGAGAGTGAGAGAAGCTGCTGAGGTGATGAATGTGCATGTAAACCGTTATATTATTAATTATTTTAAGGGTTTCATTATCTACTGTGTTAGGCAACATATCAAAAGCAGCCCTGTAGACAACAGGGGAATTCTTCTGGGTTACAGGAATGTTACTGGTTAACTGGGTCATAGACATCAAGTTGAACGACAGGTCAGATGCATCATCACTGTAGAAATACTTTTTGACTGTGTATTGGGATTGACTTGGTTGTGATGGAGGATCATGCTTCTTTTCCCATACTTTAGTGAAACAGCTCTCCAGCTCTGACCTCCTGAACTTGGACTATATCTGTTTCTAGATATTTCCTCTCCTGCTATTTCTGTTACATGCACAGTGCAAATCATTCCTGGGCAATTCTTTGGTTTAAGGTGGTATACCTTGAGGCAACGATGAACTTCAAAAGGGCCCAAATCAAAGCACTACATAAATAAATCCCCAAAGCCCCAGTTCCCCAAACCCACATTGTGGAAACAAACCAAGAACTGCACCTCCTGTCATGTAATTCTAATTCAAAGCTGTGTGTGTGGGGTGACATTTACCCAGTATTTCAAATAAATTGATAGTAAATTGTATTTATTTGCTAAATTCAAATCAGTAAGAACAAAATCAGGCTTTGTGATGACTCCAAACAACACATCACTGCACCTGAAACAAGTGGTATTAGAAACCAACTCTGAAACAAAATATATATTTTATCAGCATCCCAAAACTGCACCCAAACAGAAAAATACTGCCTTTCTGAAGACACAAAATGAGTAAGTGCTAACCTTCACTTTATCATTGTAAAGAATTACAATACCGCAGAACGTTTCCAAAATCTTTCACTTTTCGTTTTTCTCTTCCAAGGCCCAACATTACAGCTCCACGGTATAATTTATTTTATAACACTAACAATAGCAATGCACAATAGCTGAATTTTCCACTGTGTCCTGGATAACAACAATCAGTTAAACTTTCTTTTGTAAAAAAAAAACAACATAAAAAATGTAATTAAAAAAAACATAATTGTACGATATCCATTCACATTAAGGATTTCTATTTACTACATTAGGACTTTCTTGATCAGTGGAATACAGTTTTTGTACAAAATACAGTTTTTGTTTGTGGCTGAGTTATTTCACTAAATTTAAGACTAAATATAACTTAAATGAACACACATGAACACAACTTGAAAAATGTTTCTAACTCATAACAATCAGCGTATATTGGTTTCAGGCTTTTCTTTTTACCTTTTGGAACATAAACAGTCAAAATGTCAAAAACACATTCTGCCTCACCAAGGTTATCAGATGATTTTGAGTCAAGTGCCTTTTTATCCTCCTCTTTTTCTTTTTGCTATTGTTTTACATAAGTTACAAACTTTAAAGAAAAGTGATATGGTGACCAGCTAATTGTCCCTATTAGTGTGAGCTCTGTATATGATATGTTACAGTGAGATTAATTAAGTGCTACAAAACTATATACTAATGGTGTGAGACTATTAACATAGTGTAAACAACTTCTATTCCCTTATGTACATGGTAAAATGCATAAAAATCAAGACACTGCAAAGGCAAAAAGAAGTTGTTCATTTTGTCTTATTTTCTTAGGACATTTTATACTCACATATAATAAAGACTCAGATAAGGTTACAGATCACTGGTGGTGTGTAAAAATCTAATCTGGTGATTATATCTTCTCCTTGCTTTCTATATAGAGTACTAAATTTATTATATTCTAATTTTAAAGAAGCTTGTTATATATTGTATGTTTTATTTTTTAATATAGCATTGTGTTGTCACCTAAGGTAATGTCTGTAGTAATGTTGTTTTGGAATTCTTTATGTAGAGTGAGAAGAAAATCTAAAATATTCCAATTAAAATAGGTGGCTTTTCATTAAAGCACATTAACTTAGGTTTCGTTTTTCACAATAGGGAAAACAATGTAAAAATCATAGCATGGCATGGAGTCATTAATCCTGGTCTAATAGTATAAAGAAAGAAAAAAAAACCAAGACAACATAAGCTTCATTTGCACATTTATTTTTTAAAAATTAAAAGTTCAAAGTAAGTTTTTCATGAAATTTTGACACTTAAATATATGAACTTCTTCTTACTATTTACAGCACGTTGCTGTGGAGCACTTGTAGAAAATACATGCCTTGGGTATGAAGCCCAGAGAGAAATTCAGTAGAGCATTTTCACAAGAGCCTGCACAATACCCACATTTCAGCCACAGGAAGAGAGCAGGAAGACGTCACAGGAATGCACTGTTTCCTAGCAACAAGACTTCCATTGTACTAACCCAATTTTCTGCTCAGGTAGTGTTAGCATTGGTAATAGTGAGTTGAAAGAACAAAGAATTTTTTGGGAAAAAATATTTGTCAAATACATGTTTGATCCATACATTAAAATCTGAAACACAGTTTAGAATAGGTTAGTTTTTCCTGCATACTGTATGTTTTAAACACCTTTTAAAACTTTCTCTATCACTGACAAAAATACGAGACAATAAGAGAAAATGTTCATATTATTTTTAACCTTATGTATCTGACCAAGGAATTGTAAAGAAAGGAACATTGAAGAGGTTACAAAAGAAACCATAAGGCAATGCAACAAACTTTGAGGAAATATATTTCAATGATTTTTACAATACCACAAAGAAAGAAACTACAAATTAACCTAAAATGACTGTAATTCTCAAATTAAGAACTTAAGATACTTTGCTAAAACAAAATAAAACAAAAACTGAATCTGTAGTAATGACACCAGAATGTATGAATGCATGCACTATGTATTTTCTATCAGTGCACAATGTTTTGGCTTTAAACCACGAAATGTGTCATGATTCACAGGATGTTTACACACCTTTGGTAAAGCCTTAGTTTCACAGTGCTGTCTTTCTTATACTTCTTATCTTTCGGTACAGCATGTAAACAGATTGCCTGAGAAAGAGTATATTCTTCCTCACTCTTCAGAAAAAGTGCAACAATTTGGGTTTCACAATGACTATGATAAACTTTAAAATCGGACTTTGTTCATCAATTAGTTTGGCTAATAGGTTGGAGTCCAAACAAAAAGCTGTTACCAAAACAATAAAATAACGACAAATGTACAATTGAAAGGCGTATTTGAAGTTATTAGAAGTACTTTTTGCTTATATTTTGCCATAATGAAGAAGCCATATTAGACCAATGGTATTGTTAGTTTCTGATTTAGACAGCACAACTTAATTTAAATCGCATGAAGAGATTCCTAGATATAACAAACCACATGTATATGCAGTTGCATTCTTTTTAATAATGACAGTGTGTCATCTGTTGTCAGAAGAACAATACAAAGTGAATGTTTTTAAATACCGGTGCAGTGTATGAGTTTATAATTCTAAAGATGTACTATAGCTGCTATTAAATACTGAGTTCTTTATAATTTTGCTATAGTAATAAAAGTGGAGAATATCTGATGACCAGATATTGGAAGCAGGGCCCAAGGAGCATTTGTGACAATTTAACCTAGTACTGCATTGTTCAGAAAAAACATATTTGAATGGACCACAAAAACCTATTTTTTATTGGGAGATTAATTATAAAATATGGATATAAAAATAAGATTTATGTAATGATCCTTCATTGAATGTGGAGGCATATAATAGCAATAAATGTTAAAAGTATTTCCTACAACTCTTTAGTTATAGTAATTTTCCTTCCAATTGCTTGACATTTAGTTTAAGAAGGCTAAGAAGTCTTCTGTTGCAATCCTACTATATAATCTCTTTGTAATGTTCCCCTATATTGAACTCACAGCAGCCAGATTGTTCAAAAAGTATTAATGTCTATATTGTTTGCTTTGCAGTTTCAGAAGTACTGTGCATTCTCTGTTATGAAATTAGTTTTTTAAATGCATTATAGATATGGACGTGATGAGAGAAGGTTAACAATTTTTCAAAGGCTTTTCTTGAAAAGGGAATGGTCAGATGTGTTTGTTAAGAATACTTCAGCCAGAAGGTACAGTTCACTTCATCTGTAGTAGTCTTTAGCAATCAGTACATCATTCCATGTCTTCAGAATGTGAAACCACTGCATTCAAGATCTTTAAAGACAGCACTTGAGGACTTGGTTTATCAGATGTCAAAATCTTTTCAGAAAAGAGAATAAGTAAACCAACTTGAACACAAGACTTTGTTCGGAGAAGCTGTATTTAAAAATAACTTAATCCATCACTAAAATCAAGGGTGATACTCCTATGAGTCAATGAACATACCCATTTTCTTCCAAATCAATGTTGTGTAATAATTTGTTTATATCCATGGTGCTTCCTTTATATGGTGTAATTCAGGTTACAAAAGCACATCTTTCTTAATAAAACAATCTAGATTACTAATATTTTGCAACTGAAAAAAATCAGTTACAGAAATTGACACTTGATGAATGTCTGTGTAGTTGTCAACACTTCTCTGTCTTGTAAAAGAAGGGTATCTTTTAATCATACATGAAAACACAGTTGGACAACATATACTGTATAAAGACAATAGAATGGTATGTATTTTTTATATGAGGCACCTCACTTCAATTTTCCTTCAATAAGAAATACTGTACAGGTGAATGCTTGCACAAGTTACAATCATGTGGAATCTTACATTACTGAAATGATTTAAGAAAATAAAGCAAATAACATACAATTAATACTTCCATTAAATATGTGCAGGGGGCTGTCTTTTATTAACTCCTGAACAGTGAGTGATGATAAAGAGCTCTGGCACTACGATAAGAAATGACTTTTGCATCCCTAAATGGGATATTTTACAACTTTGTTAAGCGAGTGAATATGCAATGAAAAACACTCAATATTAAACGGAATAAAAAGTTTCAGTTTACGACTGATTAGTTTTTCCCCCACTGGGTCTAAAAAAACATGGACTTGAAGAACATTAAGATTCTCTTCTGCTATTCCACACTTAAAAGATATTTGTTTTAAACAAAAAGGCACAAGCTCCACCCAAATTATGCATTATATACCAATAATGCACAGATAATAACTTTAATCTGTACTGTAATGCATTAAATAATTTGTAGAAAAGTAAACTCTATACAGATTTTTAGCATGAATATTTGTAGCAATGTTTACTGTCTGCAAAAAACTGCGCCTACAGATTAACAATAATATTGATTATAATGGGTGACGACATATTGATTTTAGCACTTGTTCTTGTTAATGCACTTGCTATTTACAGTTCCTTGTGACTAAATGTATATATTCTACTCCATTGTTACCATCATAACTTCAAACACCAGAGCAGAGGCAGACAGAGTGTTGAATTAAGGTGACTGACATTGGAGGGCTTTGTAACAAGACCTCTCTCCAGCATTTACCAACAGATTTTTGCTTTAGTTTTAGACTAGCTCAGATGTCTTAATTTATTGAAAGCTTTAGAAGCTCTCACAAGTAAGTGAGGTTTATTGACTGATTTCTTAAGGACTGGAAATACTATTTCCATCAACTTTATTTTTTCTAAATGTAATTTCAGAGAATTTATGTCAATCTATCCTAAAAGGTGGCATTTAATCCATTGCTCCTGTTTGCACGTTTAAAAGTAATTTAATGAAATGATCTGAGAGATACTTCTGCATATCAAGGATCAATGCAGGGCCCTCTGATTATACAAAAGCCCTCAAATAAAATGCTGAATAACCTGGAAATTTTAGCAATTTGTAATAACTCAGCAATCCCCAGTCCTCCAAAGCATGGGCCACAAATTTAAATGAACTCCCAATGGAACAATAATAAAATACCATCATTTGTCACATTTAAAGGCAGTTGGAAATGATTTCTCCAGTTTTCTTTATATTTACAGAGTTTGTCATTCTAGAAAAACAGTACAACAAATCATTGAATGTCTAAAAACAGGCAGTCTTTGGTGAAAGAAAGGCAGGCAGTCTATTGTCACTGTTACCTCCTTCCTATTTCACTCTGTCTCATGAAGTGAATGTTGTTGGCACTGTCAGAAAGTTCTAGGTTCTGCTCTACAGACAACACAAAGTATCCATCATAGCCTGGGACCCTCCCCGTAGTTAGCAGCTGCTGCTTCTCTCCCTCTGTCCATGCCCTAATCCCTTCCTCTCCTTCCTGCAGCCTCTTCTGTTCTCTAGTCCAGGCTTGTTCTACTGCCCTCTGCCTGGCCATTTCTAAGACGTGCACTTTTTCTTCCTCAACAGTGGCCCCGTAACGAATATTAAAGCACAAGGCCCCGTGCTGGAGCTGAATATCGGCAAACCGTCTAGTCCTTCCATTCACCACTGAGGTCATCTGAGACACAGTCACGTTGACACCGTTTTCCAAAATGCGGCCTCCACCAGTGTTGCCAATCACTGCCAGGTCACCTTCCAAAGGCCCTGACTTGATGAAGTAATGGGTATCTTTCCCATCAATGGTGAAATGGAGGCCACTCAGGTATCTGGCATTGTTCAGGATAGCCGCAATCCGCCTGCTGTCATCGTTGGCAACTCCAATAATGTCAGTGGATACAACGTCATCCAATATAGCAAACTTCACACCTTTACCGAAAACTGAAGAAATGGCGGAAAACCCGGGCCTCCTGTCTTGGCATCCTTCCTGGATACCACTGATCTGGGTCATTGGAAGCCTCTCTAAAGAGATGAAATTTCTCAGTTGTTTCTGGAGCTCACATTGAATTCCAAGGACCACCTGTTGCAAAAAACAAAAACAAAACACAAGTCTTTTTGTTTGGTCTCAATTATAAGCATCCAACCATTCAATCATTTGGTGTATTATTTTCACCTGAAATGCCTGTAGTATTTATTTTACAGTCTTCAAGGGCTGATTGGTCTCCACTCATTTGTAATCTTCATTACTTTCTGATTCAACACTAAATGTGTACTACTGCCAGTAACAGTTGGCAACTCTTTCTTGGCTTTGAGTTCCATATATGGAATAAAAAAGGTGTGATGCTTATTTTTTTTACCTTACTTGGGTCCCAGTCTTGTGTTTTTGTCTGAGTTTTCATCAGCTCGTAAGTCTGCTCCATGTTTTCTACATCAGGTTTGGGGAATCCTGGAACTACGTTATGAAGCTGAAATCCAAATAGCTGCAACCAGCTTCCAATGTCTAAAAAAATACACAGTGATAAAACACGGAGGTTTTATATTTGTTTCCAAACATTTTCAAATATAAAAATAAATGTCTGAGCACTCGAGTTTTTAAGATAATTTCATATATACTTTTAAAATAGAGAAAATACTGACTATTATTATTATTATTATTATTAATAATAATAATAATAACAATAATAATAATAATAATAATAATAATAATAATATTGTTTCTTTATTAGCCCTATACAATTCTTGCATTAGGAATTCATCTTTTCGCATACCCCAGCTTTTCCCCATGGAGACACAGACAGGGAGAGAAGCTTGGGGTCAGAGCGCAGGGTCGGCCATTGTACGGCGCCCCTGGAATTAAGTTCTACCTCTTGTGGCTGCACTTTGCTACTTTTTTAATGCTCTGGTTGATTTGCTGTATATTTCCTTGTAATATGCAAGTATTGGCTGATGTTTTTATCATGTAAATGTTTTTGTAAATGTAAATACATTTTACATTGTGTAAATGTAAATTTGTAAATTTTGTAAATGAATATTTAACAAAACATTTAAAGTAAAATAGTCATTTAAAAAAGAGTTTTGGTGTAAGTACAGAGCAAAATGACAAAGCAGTGATTTTTATATAAAACTTTTGGAAGATATGTCAGCTTGAATCTTATTATTAAATGGTGGGATTGTGTAAACTAATGTTGTATCATATAATGTACCAAGAAAAACATGAGAAGACTATAGATTATATATAATATGACATACAGATGCAGCCATCTAGAGTATGCGAGGTGTCAGTCGGTATATAGCAGTAGGCACAGCGGTATCATGGACAGCACTGAATTTTAAAAACAAATCTGATGTAGGACTGCACTATTCTGTAAAAATGAGGTGCAGCAAATCCTTAAAGTACCAGAGTTGCGTGTGGTTGTCAGACAAAGGTTTATAGTATTAGTACTTTCCCACGCAAATCATGGTGTATTTCATCAAGTGCAATGATAACATTGTTGAAACATAATGTTTTTACCACATTGCTACCATAACTTCAAATAAGATACTGAATGTCGCAATACTGTATAACACTAACATAATTATTGTTTTTCTTTAATTAAATATACAGAATTATTAGTAATTGTGTACAAACAGTAATTTGAATACACTTTTAAATGTTTTTAATAAAAAATATACAGTGTTGTTAAAAACATATATCTGAAAATATCTGAAAAAGAAAAAATAGGCCATATTAAAATGAAATTTGAGTAGATTTGAATGTCTTTTTCAGTCACACACTGTAAGTTGAATTTTAGCTGATACAAGTCTGTACTACTGCATATAAAGCGTTTTTCTTTAATCAAAGAAAGGTTTAATACTCACACAAGATGCCTTATTGTATCCTATTTTGAGTTTGTGATATTCTGCTTTAAATGGTCATATTTAGGTACAGTATTGCCTATAAATACTGTACATGTTGAACAATAATTCTTACAGTATGAACTCATGTATACTACGCTTATATTGTATTCTAGCCTGTGCATAATTGCACACAAACAAAAAGCTGAGTTTACTAAAAATGCAATTAGGTAATTGAATACAATTTGTGAAAAACTTCACAAACAGCAATTTTTAACCATCAGTGGATTGAAAGAACAGTACTTGATAAAAAGATCTGATAAAAGAAAAACAAGAGATAGGATATAACACAGAGATTATTTTCCATGTTCTAATTTGGTATCATAGTACACACGTACAGGTGAAACAGCTAACTCACAGTTCCTTACAAATATTCAGAGGTTCCACTTTTACATTACTGTACTGTATATAAACCAATAATTTAAAACAGATCAAATACATTACAAGGTCTTCATTTGATTTTTCAGCTCTTCATCCCAGAATCTGTAATAAGCTTTTGCTTTGTGGTTGATTTTACTGTCTTTCAAATGCAGTCTTTGAGGGAATGTCAAACCATCACTATTGGATTGAAGTGAGGGGATTCTGCTGTTTTTTTTCACAGAGTTTATTCCCTCTGTTTTAATACTAGACATTGCTGCTTAGTGTTTGAGATCACAGTCCTTAACAAATCAGTGTCTAGATCCATAATGATCCCTGATGTTACTGTTATTAAGTAAACAGTAGAGAAATAAAGTACAAATATGTATAAGAACAGACCAGTTTAAGAACATACTAAAGTCTGTTCAGTTAATGTCTAGCTCTGCGGTTCCAGGTTTTTCCCAGCCCAGTAAAGATTCAATGAGCACCAGGGATTCTCCTTAAGGAGCAGAAAACACGTTTGCCACAACACAATATTTACAACAAGATGTTTTTGATTTATGGTATACTTTTTTTTAGTTTCTCAGTAATTTCATGTAAGCTTTCGTTCAGTGTTTTTTAGTCATATTGTTTTATTTTTCTAAACACTTCTGGTTGTACCACTACCAGCTATATAAATATATTTATATAGCTGGTAGAGTCACACCCAAAGAGAGCTCCACAGCCAAAATGTTGTGTTTTCTTTCTTCTCTTTTCAGCATGGAATAAACCTATATTTATATTCATCAATTAATATTGTTCACAATATTATTTTCAGCGATCATAATTTACATTTTTCCATATAAATATTACATATTAAGTGAATTTAAAGTAACAGTAAAACTGGATAAATTAAGCTACCATTTCACTTACATCTTACGCACCACAAGTGCCACCTATCAATCCTCTTTGCACAGTGAAGGGCTAAATTAAACTCTTTCAAATTCAGATGACACATACTAAATGAAGCACCTAAGAGAAACATGCAATATTTTCCCCAAACTTCCCTTTCACTGTTTCTGGATTTGGACATCTATGGAAAACTATATCCTGATAGAAGACCATAAACTATTCCAGCACAGAACTAATCATCATTTTCAAATCATTTTCAAATGTCCTGCACAAATTAAGCAGTGCATGGTGGGCTGATTTGTGAAGAGATACAGTAATTAGTTGCCTGTACCTTCTCTTTAACTTACAATTTCAGTTCTACCAGAGCAAAACATTGTACAAGAGTAAAGCCTGAGAAGGAATTTATTACATTCTTTGAAATAAAATTAGTCGGAGATCTTTCTTACCTGTTGTGTACTGTGTGACTTCCTGTAAATCCCCAACTGGATAATTGTTCCTAAAAGAATACAGGTTAAAAGGCTTTGGATGTAAGCTCAGTTCTTTCCACAAGTCATAGTTTGGGGTGGTCCACCGTCCTGCAATCACATCATAGTCCCTCCGACCAAGATGAACCAACTTGGTCAAGGGGTCATAAAGCCCCCCATGGAATCCGATGATTATTTCAAAGCTAGGGTTGGAGTCTTGGTATATATCTCCATATGGGGTGTACAATATTTCTTTAATTATCTGTCCTTTGCTGCTAAAAACAGCTAAAGGAGTTCCAGTGTTATCGCAAGCCACGTAGTACTCTTCACCACTGCTTAACTCCATGGCAATCAGATGTCCTTGAAGGTCATAATACAGGGATGTTATCTCAGAACTGCTGTGGTTGTACATGTGAGTGACTCTTGTTGGTTTGGCAAGATCGGCATAAAAAAACTGGAGGTGCTGCATTAGGTTTGACTTGCTTGCCACCCGTCGACCCAGACCGTCATAGTGGTACTGCACACTCCACTCCGAAGCTTTGTTGTAAGCTCTGCTCAGTAATCCGTTAGAATTATACTCGAAGACCTCATTACCCCGAAGACGAAGGAATCCATCCTCATCCATTTTGTACTGTATTTCACCCAATTTTGTTATGCGATCTCGTAGGTCGTACCTCAGTGGCGTGAGTCGTGCACTGTTGCCATGGCTGAGCAAGTTAATATTCCCATTCAGGTCGTAGCTGTAGCGCCATTGTGGTCTGTCATTCACTGACACAGTTTGAAGCTGGCTGTCTGCATCATAATCATAGGAGTACCGCGTGATGTTGTTGTCGACACCTATTCTGATGTCACAGATGGTGGTTCGGCCCATATTGTCATACTGAACTGTCATCCAGTAGGCAATGGACTTCAGGATTTCATACTGGACTTCCATTACTTGTCCGTTAGCACTGAATATCTTGGTGTGCTTCATTACATGCGTGGTAATAACTTGATTGAGATCGTAGTTAATAACACTGAATTTGCCAAACTGTTCAATCCTTCCAGAAACATCCACATAGCGATAGAGGTCAATTGGCAGTGGAGTCTCATTAATCATTGCTTGCATGCTGGTCACTCTGAAATTATTGTAGCTGTAGTCAAAGCGGGCATTTACGAGACCCTCCTCACTGAACCTGAAGATCTGACGCCCAACAAGAGGCCCTGTAAAGGTAATTTTTTTCTGAGTGAAACAGAAACAATTTTCCTCATTTTATAAGACAGTACAGAAATTACAAAAATGTGTAACTATTTTTGTAAGATTTACAAATTTACATTTTTTTGTCAAAATTCAGTGCTCAGAGCTGTCACAGCATTTTAAAACTGATAGAAGAAATGGTATTATGATGTGTTGTCAGTTTACATTTCTAAGCATGATAATGTATATATAGTAGCAATGAAGAGCTATTTAAGAAATATAATTGAATTTCATTTTGACCTGGAAAGAACAGTTTGTAAACTAGAATTACAGAAAAACAATACTAACCATTTTTTTAGACATCAGGCCATTAGCTACTTGCTGTACCAGAACAGGTGTGATCTAAATTAGCTATAAAGAAAACAGTTGAATTTGAACTTAATGATGTGTGACTGTAAAACCCTTCTAGCCTTGCTGATGTAAAACCCTTCTAGCCTTGCTGAACATTATTCAGTCTTTTAGAATTTGTTTTTGGAAAAAGTGAGAAAAACAGATTCTAAAAAGGTTACCATAGGGGTCATCAGCAAGTGTTTTTTTGTTGTCATTGGAATTTCATGCTTCAGAAAATAGTGCTCTTCTGATGTGTTTTGTTTTCACTTAGGGCCCTGAATTTTAAAAGAACCACGGTTCTTTGCAGTTACTTTAAGCCTTTCTGTATGAAACTTGAAAGGGTTTTACATGTAGTCTGACCAAGTGCCTGTGCATTTGCTTTCAAGCAAGATGCATCTCTTCTTGAGATATAACGTTTTTTCATACTAGCATAAAAGTCAGAAAGTGCATCAAAACTCATCAGTGAGAAACTGATTTTACACGTGTGACATCTTCTGAATAATTAGCACTTTTCCCTCTCTAAAAATCATTATTAAACTAAGCAATGGTAAAGAAATTCCCAATATTGTGTCAGCTTAAAAACTGACATCCCTGCTTTGTTAACTCTCAACCAATGAGTTCCATAATAATCAATTAAGGCTGGCTAAATCTCTCTTAATTTAGTGAATATTAAAATCCACTTTAAAGCTGACCAACAATATTTCTTGCTGCTTCTCCAGCTGCCCAGATAAAACACAGATAGAACTTTTTACATTCATCAACTTATTAGCAGGAAAATGGAAAATATTTTCTTTTCTATTTTTCTAAAGACAGTATGGGCTACTTCAAAAATGTTTTTTCAACAAATGCAACATGTGTGTTTAATAAAATGATAACAACAGATTACGGTTGACATTCCTGAGTGTCTTCAAAAAGGTCAGCTGAGTCTTTTAGAGGAGATTCATTTGTATTGTGTTATTTTCACATTTCTTTTTATAGATTGCGAGATCTCGAGTTTTCATTTCTGCTTATGTGAGTTTTAAATCAAACACAATTCTGTGCAATGTTTTTCAATACTAAAAGCAGCATTCATGTGCGGTAACTTAAACTTGGTGAATCAATTCTTTGCAGCTATTCTAAAAGGATATGGGAGGATCCTTCAGAATCAGGGGAGAACCTACTCTGCTTTGAAATACAAAATACATTTATCCCAAGAGTGAGTACAATTTCTCAATTCAGAGAAATGTGTGTACCAGGATTTTAAATTGGTTAATAAATAGAAAATAGAGAGTACATAAAAGCAGTGAATTCTCAAACTGAGGGTTCCCTTCCCTTCTCCCCCTGGTGTTGGTGTGGTGTTGGCCCTGATTTTCTTTCCAAACTGTTCTGCCCACCAAGCCCTGGGGCGGAAAGGGTTCCCAGAGCTCAGATCTCCTTCCTCAGTGCCCTTAAATTTATGCTGTTAACCCCAAACCTTAGACACTTCATACTATCATGAGAGAAATACTATTATACTGTAAGTCCTCGGACTGTGCAAGTTTTCCTCCATCCTTCTTTTCTCAGTTGATTTCCCATCTATTCAACCTTCAACCTTGACTTAGATTTCAATAGAGGAAACTTTCCTTCCTTTAGGTCTCTAGAGATCGTCCTTGGTTCTAACTTTTCACACCTCCTTATCACAAGGCATGCTTGGCTGCATTAAGATACCACCATTTGCTGCCGCCCTTATTCAATGCAAGCTCCTCAACCTCCTCGTTCACTTAGCCTGCTCTATGCATATTGTTTCTTTGAGGTGCACCATAACTTATCTTCTCAAATTTGCTTCCTCCATAACATCTGGACATGGACACCAACTGCACAGTAAATTAAGGCCATGGTTCCTGTACCTGGAGCAATGGAACAGAATCGTTTCTATAATGATGACCCTCTGTTTCCTGATGACCTCCAACTTTTCATTATGCTGCACTATCCATTGCTTTACAGCCTTCATAGAGGATAATTGCTCACAGCTCCCCGGCCTCATGAATCTTCTCAAATTCCTCTGTAATATTTTGAGAATTGTACCCTATCATCATCATCCGCTCTACATTGGGGTTTCACCTTCAGCCAAAATGTCTGCACTTATATAATATGTCTGTGGTACACATTATAAATTAAGGTGCTTTAAATCACTATCTCTGTGTTTCACGAGCTATACTGTAGCTGCATATCTCGTCTGGTGTTCTATGTGGAACTAATTCTTAATACAGATTGCTCTTCCCTGTTTCTCAAACCGGATTTGCAGCCTCCCCATCTTCAGAAATTTTTTCTTCTGTAAACTATGTCACCTTCATGGATCAGTTCTGCAGAGCACTGCATCTCAATTTTTCCACTAATTATGAGTCCATGCCAGTCTCTTGGACCGCCATCCCTTCTGATCCAATGTTCTTTGAATCACCTCTGGTTCCTACACCACTTCCTCAAAGCGCTACCTAAGCTGGCTTCAGCACCAAATACTTCCCAGCCATTCTTTCAAATGGTTTGGCACTCATTGAGGAATCCCACTCACTGCATTTAATCCCTTGAGCCATGCTCCTCTGATGTAATGGACTTTTTATTAAACCCAAACTCAATCCACTGTAAGTTCGCTGACCATGTTGTATGGTTAAGGATTCTGCTTTGATGTTATGACGTTCTCATTCATTCCATTCTTTTACCCTGTCTGTAACAATATTTCTTCAGAGCAGTGTGTCCTGAACCTTCACTCTTTAGTCGACTTGGCAATGTTACTATGAAGTAAACTTCTTGCAAACTTCACATTTACTTTTTATATGTTCAGTTCAATAATCATACCTTTATTCCTATTCTTTCTTTAGTTTCCCAAACTTTCTAATTCTGCATTAGCATTGAGTCTCTCTTGTTTTTTTTTTGGGTTGTTGTTCACCTGAGCCGGGTAATTTAATAAAGCTATTATTACTATTTTTAAATGAAAGTGTTAGTAGTTAATAATATTTAAGTATAATAAGCATTAACATGATAAGCATTTAATAATGAACTCCATTAATGGTATTTAATTTAAAACCAATGAGTAAAACTAAGAAAGATTTATTACCTGTCTGCCGGTATCTGATAGTGCAGATGAAACCCTCATGCATCAGGTGGATAGTTTTGACCACACCAGAAGAGTCATCATAGGTGAAGGTGACTAGTGTGGTGTCATACAGGACTTCAGAGAGGCGCGACTGCCTGGTATATCTGTACAGGACACGACGCCCTGTTCCCAGGTACAGTGTCTGAAGCAGACGGCCATCGTGAGTGTAATCCTGGATCACAGAGGTGCTGCTGTCTGGAGGGGTATAGATGTTCCGGTAGCATCCCACAGACAGCATAGTTTGCAGGCTGTGACGTACCATACTGGGCATTGTGACAGACACGAGTCGGTCCGTCTGATCGTACTCGAAGATGTACCTTCGCTGACTGTGCAAAAGTAGCATTATAGACTGTAAATAGAAAGAAAAATAGACCAAGACATTAACAGAAATCTTTGTCAATTATATTGTTATTATTATAAGTGAAAAATACAGTTTAATTGCTTTTTTTTTTCCAGAAATAAGAGGATTACATTGCCAACTAGAAGGTTCTTCAGACACAGATCTAAAATGTTATCTAATATGTTCTGCCTGGGGACCTGAATTCCAGTTTTTGTGGTATCTGGTCTTCATTGTTAAACATTAAATAGTTATAAATATATGCTTTGAAACAGGATCTGAATGGAAGGTACTATTAAACACACATAGTCACAAATGATACATACTGTATAGAGTATTATCTACAGGAAATAATTTAGAGCAGCATATAGTAATTGGTAAGAAAAATACTGCATCTTCCATCTAATATCAAGTTTGGCATCCCTGAAGAGACACTATTGAGACAACACACTCCATTCACTGTCAGAAAGCTGCTTATCCTGGTGAGTCTCATGGCAATCACAGGTATAAGACACACAACATCCTCTGGATGGAACACCAGACTATCACAGAGTGATTTAGAAAGGCAGCCTGTCTCTGGGAAATGGCAAGACACTAGAGCATCTGGCTTCCATGTAAACACAGAGAGCATGCCAAAAACTGAAACCGTACTAAGGACTCTGGAATTAATAAGAATCTCCTATTTAAAAATAAATATAAACTACAGAAATTGGAGGAGACCATTCAGGTATTTGTGCTTGCTTGGTTAGTAGCTTATTGATTGAAACATCTGCTTTAGTTTCATGATTGTGTAGTTTGTTCCAGATCTCGATAACCATTAGACTCCTCTGTTTTCAGTCCTACAGTATATGCATACCCTCTTCATAATGGAGGAAAATGTATATTTTGTCATAAAATCAAAAATCAGTTCTGGCAAATAAAATACAGTGAATTCTTTGAGGAGACATGCTTAACCTATTATAAGTAGGAAAAATAAATATTAAATACAGAATATAAACATATTTTACCATATTAACATATTTGACCACTATGTATATAAATTAAGGAAGGAATGAATACTTAAAGATATCACCATTAGTAAATTCTCATTTACATAAACTATTGAAAAACACATAAAAAGCTTTATGTTACACCATGCTGACAAAAACACACTTTTTACTTCTTTTTTTCTTTCTCTGGGTGTTTACATATCCCAGAGGTCACAGGTTTTGACTACCCACATTTTACAAAAGGATCTAATAACAAAGGACAGCAAATCAAACAAACTTGTGATCAATTTCACAAAACGTTTAAATACATTTCGGTGGAATTATCCTTAAAAATAAAAAAAAATCTCTGGTAAAATAGGTTAGGAACTGTTAGCAATCATCAAAAAACACGTCATGTCAGCCATACTTCACCTTCTCAAGAAATGTGTAGCTCCATATCTTTCCATTGGCCCAGGTTCTGGATATAATCCTGCCATTCTCATATTCTATTTTTTCAGACCAGTTTCCCCTCTGTATATTGGTCACTAGGCCAGCAGGTGAGTAAGTGACATTGACCTCATTGTATTTACTACTAGGAGACCATAAAATGGGTCTACCCATTTGGTCATACAGGATCCTAAGGGTAAACTTTCGATGATCATCGTAGATCTTGCCCACTCGTGTTGCTTGGTCAAAGTCTATGGACAGCAGATTTCTGTTATGAGCCTAATAATGAATATCAACAATATAAGATTAGTGAAACAATCAAACTTAAACAAGAAACATATACAACTTCATGGCAGTTATATACACATACTGTAATAAAGCTGTAGACTAACTTGCTAGTGAATGTTTATTTATGGAATGTAAAATGCATGACAAAAATAAATACAAAGATAAAAAACATCTCAAGTAATATGTAAAGCTATCTCTGGTTTCATCACCAGTGTTCATTTTTTAGTATTTTTTTCATCCTTCAAAATAGCTTTATGGTTTGTTGTACTTGTTCTTCCAAAATGAAACAAAGTAGAACCTCTGTATATCATCACAATGAAACTTGTCCCAATCAGTTGTATTTTGTTTGTTTTTTTATATTCAGAGGAGGAGAATGTACACCAAGAAAGGAGAAAACAATAGTATGCAGGCCCTGAAGTAAATTTCTGGGGGGGAAAAAGGACATTGCGCATTTTTGTGCAAGTACTTATGATTACATACTTCTAAAACATACAATTCTCATACTTAATGCAGGTTTAGAAAGGGGAGAGAACCTTATAGAATTTAACCTCACATTATTACAGAGAAGTTGGCATTACAGCTATCTAAGGATGAGTAAATGTTCTGAAGTATCTGCATTGGCAATGAAGAAATGAAATTACCCTCAGCCGTCGCTCATAGGCTGTATGATTTCCTTTGGCTTGTTCCCGCCTCTGTCTCCACTCAATGAGGCTAGAGCTGTGTTCCCCAGGCAGGGTGATATTGCATTTGCCCACTGTGGGGTTCACCACGCCTCCAGAGAGATGTGATTCAGTGTTGAGAGTCACTTCCATTCCACTTGCAAAGGTCACGCGCAGGGATCCGTCGGCGCTGACACGATACGTGTTCTGTGCATTGTCTGTGAGACACAAAAACAAGTAGGAACAGATTTAGGAAAATCTACCCGAAATCGCAACGGGCATTCTGCTACCACAATATTTGCTGACACATACTGAAATCTCATTTAAATGTTATTTTCCCAGAGGTGGTGGCACACCGAGTTCTCATCAACTGCCAGAAAAAGTGTGAAAACAAAAAAAAAATAGAAGCATGAATGATGGCACTAGAATGATGAGCAGTTAGTGTTTTCTTTCTAGTTTTTGTCTTCATGATCTCACTAAAGCAGGAAATATGTTTGACTTTTTTCAGTAGACATTTTCTGTTGTTTCTGCTATTATTGAAATAACACATTAAGACGTGAAGTGTTCGGATGTTTATGTAATAAAAAAAGTTGTGAAAATGCAATAAACTAGTCTGGTTTTTAATTTGGACTTTATGTAAGATAAGTCTTTCAAAAATAAGGTTTCTAAAGATGACTCTTTGTGTTATTTAAACCTTGCCTACATTTTCAGATGAAGGAAAATCAGGCTTTGCAAAAGTAACAAAATGCTCTTCATGGAGCATTTCTGATTATAATGTGTGTCTTAATATGAGACTGAAAAACATCGGAACCAGATTCACTATGCCTCAGTTTCCTGTTTACCCATTTATAATTGACTTTGGGCCAGCAGTTCACACCTTTGCAAAATCTTCACAGAGCTAAACTTAAAGATAACATAGAAATGCCTAACTACATTTGTTACTTGACTTGATCAATTTCAGGTCTCATGTTGTCTTTTGTTCACACATACTTTGTTCACTCTTCTGCAAATGTGTGATTAGCTGGTTAGAAAGGCAGCTATGCACAAGACAATATATCATCTTCCTTGTAAAACCCAACACTTTGTACCTCTACACCTATTCTATACAGTGTAAAAAAGAATTTGGAACAACCACATTTTTACTCAAACAGGTCAGATTCTGGGTTTTCACTTCACATTTTCAAATGAGGAGATACGCATTTTTAAAAGTTACAAATTACATTGTATTATGCATAGCATGCACATGTTCACACTCCAGCTGCACTGAAAATGTCTGATTCGCACCCAGTGTGATACATATCTATAAAAATGAAAAAAGACAAAAACCACCACACTGCTACGTATGAAGTCAGATGCAGCTGAGAGCTATCTCAGTCTAAAAAAAACATGCCTCCCGTAAGCTAAAAGTTCAGCTTGAAAACAAAGGTATAAAATCACTTTCACATTTTAAATAAATAAAAGCTCTTCTTCTTGCCTGCGGGAAGCACTACACTAATTATATCAGTAATGATAAAAAGATACAAACAAGTCAATGGAAGTCTTTTGATAAATTTTCACCTGCACAAAACCCCATTTCAATTTATTAAAATCAGAAATCATTAATCATCATAATGCATTCAGGTGGCTACAGACTCCATTTCTTCACTAGCAAGCATAAAATGGGCTAACTGGCAGGTTTCAGCTTTTGTAGATTTCTGTAATCTCTGATTCTCCAGTTAGTGAGAACATTAAAACTGGTTATTCTCCCTGGAGCACTTAGTCTGTAATAACAACTATCTAAGAGCCATTTGTCTTGCTAAGGTAATGTTTCTCCCTGAAACACTCATTTCTGTTTTTCCTCTTCCCCCCTGTTTTTCTTTTCAAATTCTAAAACCAGTTGGTAAAATAACTGTGTCCTATATAGCAGAAGCTGGGACTACGTATATGCTGTATATTCACCATCAATGGTCAGCCAGTAGAATACATTCAAAAATAACAAGCTATTTGAAAAGTGGTAGGCCAGAAAATGATAATAGTTGCTGGGTTACATCAACAGGATTCATAACTTATTAACCATGGAGATAAGTTCTTAATTGTGTAGAGATTATTATAATTAGGAGGAAGGGTATTTTATTATCATTTCATGTAAGACAGTATTTTCTCTACTTGAATTGGACTAGAAGGCTTTCCAAGTTTTCTTTTATGTATGGGTTTGCACTGACAATATTAAAAATAATTTTCAGAATTCATAAGTACAAAAATAAATTTGTCAACTTGAAAAATATGAATTGAAGTAGATACGGACAATCTTTTAAAAAATATATATCACTTAGTATTACTATAAATAAGAAGTTTATATATACTTTAATTTATCTAAAATGAATACACATGGATGACCCACCTAGCTTTGGGTCGATAGAAACAGGTTACACCCTCTTATGTTTTCTTAGTCTATGCGATGTTACAGAGAACAAAGCTATTCTATTTAAAGCTGTGTTATATTATTTAAGATTTTCATTTTCATTTTTACAGAGCTATCAAGCTTTATTCAATACAAGCATTATTTAAAACTGCACTTCAAAACTATATTATATAGCTGCCAATATGTAGTCTCAAACTTAAATTGCAATACTAATTCAGGTGAAAACAGTGTAAGGAGGCTGTGATGTTTTCTCTCAATACCTCTGTATGCAATATCAAAATATATACTGTTTTAGTTAACCATAGTGCCTTGATTTTTGATTCTCTAATATAAACGATTCAACCTTAGGTTTTTCAGTTTTGTGTATTCTGTTCGTCGTCTGTTTCTTGTTTCTTTTTTGCTGTTTTCTTAAGTGCTTTCTTAACAAGTGTCTGCACTAGAATGATTGACACAATAGGAAAGGGTTTAACTTCAATGACTTAGGTTTAGCTGCTTCTTGTTTTTTTGTTGTACGCTCAGCTTTATTCATTAGTTTCAACAGCAGTGACAGCATATCTTCTTAACATATACATTTTCCAACCGCTGTTCAGAGAGTGAGATTGATGTGGCTTAAAGCTGAACCACTTGTTTGAAAGGAAACTCCTGAAATAGTAAACCTTAAATTGCATCTGCATCTGTGTCATTTATATCTACAATGAAGACAAAGCACAGTGATACATTTCAATCAACGTGCTTCACTAATCAGATTACATTGAGAATCAGAAACAATGAGCAAAGCATTCAATACCACAAACTCTTAATTAGGTCCCATTTCTTTCTCAGGCTGATGAAAAATGCTTGCATTAATAGTACTGGTGTTGATTTACATCAACAATAAAAAATGAATGCTACCCTTGGACAAACATTTACAGTGGCCTGTAACATTAAGCATAATTGGTTACATTATTGCTTTTGCAGGATATTACTCTAAGAGGAGTATAAAGCAGCAACCCAGACCCTCACTTGGTAACAATTTTTGACAATAAGTCAAATTGTTAATAACAATTTATTGGTAATAATTTTGATAACAGTTGGGAAAATGGGGCAATGTGGCATTTCAAGGTTCACAAGAACACTGTTATTTGAAATTATATGAATTGTTCTCAGAGAACTATTACGTATGTACAGGACAGCATTAAGCACTCACAGGCAAATAATCAAAAGTGATTTTTAAAGGTATACCATTTATAGTATTTAAGTCCTTAACAGTGTTTATTTAGTAAGAGTCTGATTTTTATGCCACCTTACTGGAATATAACATGTTGTCTAAACATTCCTCTAATCCTGAGAAAAAATAATAAGTGTGTTTTCCAGGATTATAAAAAAATATTTAAAATTTGAAATACAATTCTCTGTGGTTCACAATGTATTATTTATGTTGGCTTTTAAATGGCTGAACTCAATCTCAGGTGATAATTGTACTGTAGTTTGAGACTCCCCTTAACATATCACAATTCCATACACATACCTTGCCTTAATGTGTAGATAGTGTTCGTGGCAGAGAAGTTGGTGGCAGTGACAAAGTTCTCTTTGGTTGAAGTGTTCACTTCCACTCTCACAGATTTCTCCATGTTACTGTGGAAACTGCTAACTTCTCCCGTCGGAAAGGTTATATTGATTAGATGACCTTCACTGTTATACCTACAAACGCAATCAGAACAGTTAGCTGCTATTTGTATTCCATTTGTGCTTTGTATTCTGACCACTTTAAACAAAATAGTTACGAATGATATTTCAGTTTCTATACTGAACAATGAGAACATCGAGGCATTCCAGTACTTTTAATTAAACGCAGACATTAATAACAACATACTGTAGTTGTGAAAAGGGAGGCAAAACTTATGCTACTAAGATAGGGTGGTCAATCCTTCCATTTCATTCTTTTTTAAATCTTTGTTTTGGCTAATCCCTAATTACTGAAGAGACCTTTAGCACCTGTATTATCTACATAATTCCTTCCAATAAAAACAAAAAAACAAAAAGCAAATGGAAACAGTGGTGGAGCAGAAGCATTAAACTGTAAATAAGGAATTAAGAGGAAGCAAAATATGTGGATATGGCTGAGTATCTTTAAATGTAATTAAAGAAAAAAGGTTAAGAATTACAGTAATGCCATTCCTGGCCATTCCTTAATTTATCTTAATACTTTAATATTTATAACTGACAAATTATAAACAACATTTGGTTTTATTTTTTGCCTAATCATGTTACTTTTAGAGTTCTTTTAATTCTGAAGGCTAGCTAGGATTTAATGGTGTATCTGCAATTCCCTTCTGGCAGGTTTATAGAAAACAAAAGATATACTTAACAAAGGTTTGCAGTGCCATCCAAGTTCCACTGGATGGCACTAGTAAAACACTGATTTAAATCTAGGAAAGATGACCATGGAAAATAACATGAGTGAAACTGGAAAACAGAATCAAAGATGAACATTTAAAATTTAAGAAACAGTGACAGATATGTCAACATCATGTATAATAAAAGTAATATGATTTCATTTTGAAACTTGCATTTTAAAACTGAACTTTAAATATATACAGTCATAATGGCAAAATAACAACAACAATAAAATACTGCTAAAGTTTTCCTAAGGTTAAAGGGATACAATTCAAAATTTTATATTTGGATCACAAGTCATAACTCGTACATTAATCTATAAGAATGTTAAATAGTACTTGATGTTATTTGTTTATATGTTCTGTATATGTCCTGGTGGCCTGACACCAAACACAGATTTAATGGGAAAAAATCCTTGCTTATTACAAATATAATATTTGCAACATCTGATGTTTCCATTCATGGCTGACTCCTAGATCATAAAACAGAGTAGAAGCACAAAGATGAAGTGCTGAAGCTGAATAGATTATTTAAATGTCTTACTGAAGACACCAGACTCATCAGTTTTTTGCTCTCATAACAGGCTGCTTTTCTACAAAGCCAACCAGTTAACAAGTAGCAGTTAGTCTAGATAAAATAGTCTATAAAACTCCTATAAAATTCACTATAAAATCCCAACATAACTAAATAACAGACTTTATTTACAACATTACAATCCTAACATTACTAAACAACAAATAAGTAAACACTAAACTAAACCTTCTGGAATATTCAGCTAAATTATCCAGAGGGAACGTTTCCATCTGCTAACTTTGGGTCACAATTTTGTGTAACACTGTATAGAGCATAAAACCACAAAAACGTCAATACGGTACATAGTCAGCACTGCTAATGTTAATTTCCCAGGTGACCAAATGCTGCTTAAAAATACCTCTTTTGTTCAGCTGACAATTGGATTTCCAAGGAACGAGTCAAAAGTTATGTTGTTAGCAAATTAGCTTTTAATTGACCAAAATCAGATATTATCAAACCTTTCAAAAATGAAACAGGGCAGCAGAATGTGGATGTTAAAAGATCAAATAAACAAAGAATGGAAAAACAAAGAAATTGAAATAATGGGGTTTCATAGAATTGATATATTTTTGTAAAAATCACAAAGACTATTCTTTTCTTTATGCATCTTTTTTTCTTATACATGTTAGTATTAAAGTTTAGCCTGTTTGTCTGTAGTCAAATTTGATTGTACCTTAAGCGGATGCTATTTACATATTTGAGAGTACATATTAAAATTAATGCAGTTCCCTTTTGAATTCATTGGGATTTCAAATGAGGCAAACAACAGCATAACCTTTGTGGGTCATTTTCATCTCCTTTGTAATACCCATGGTGTAAAGATGGAATGACAGACCTCAAAGGCATTTCAGTTTGCTACAAAAATTAAAGCAAACAGCACCAAATTGTTAAATGTCTTTTTCGATTACAAATGCGGGTGTTGCCAGAAAAAGATCAAAAGAGAGGTGGAGAGTGAGACACCGATCTCACCACTTTCATTTTTCCAATTAAAAAATAAACTTGAGACTTAATAAAGGGAGGGGGTTAAAATAATGAAAAACCTTACTCATAAACAGTAGTCCAACTGTTCTCATTGCTTTTGGTTGCTAAGAGACCAGAGTTGCCATGGTACGTGATCTGTGCAAGGTCGTGTCCCTGTGCAGAGACCCTCTTCAGGGCTCCATTGTTACTGATTGTGAGCCAGTAGACCTGACCGCCTGGCACTACCAGCCAGAGAGGCACGCCATTAGCATCCCGACGGATGTGCACAGAGTTCCCATTGCTGCTGATGATTGTGCTAATATCCTTCTCCCCTGTGTAAGTGAAATTGTAAATATAGTCTCCTGTTATAAGGTTGAGCGTGTGAAGGTGGGTCCCATTGGTGTTGAACAGATACAGTTCCTGATCCACTGCAGAAGCTATTTCATACATATTCATGTGATTGAGATTAGGTTTATTTCTGCTGAGGGCCCGGACTCGGATGTTTCCCAGGTCAGCTATGTAGAGTGTGCCATCAGGAGATACTGCCAAGGATGAAGGGGCTTTCAGTTTAGCATCCCTGGCGTATCCTCCATCACCTGAATACGTAAGAAACAATGAAACCAAGAACAAAAAAAAAAACATCAGAATTTTAGAAAAGTGCCACTTTAATAACCCATCAGCTGAAAGCAGGCATATTCTGTTCATACTAGGAACTCGGCTCACAAAATCCTTCATGGCACAGGCTTACTCACATTTAGGAAGGATTTGCTGAAAAACTATTTCATTTATCATTATTTTTTATCAAAGATCTGCCACATTAGGAAATGCTTTTGAATCTCATTTACTCCAGGGGGCAAACCATTTTGAGTGCTGTGTGCCAGCAGTTGAGTTGGGGGGAGGGGGTTGGTTATAACCAAAAGTAGACAGACACGAATTTGTAGAAACTAACAGGGTAGCACAGGATGCATATTTCTCGAGAGAAGGAAGTGGGAGGTAAAAGCCTCCAAAGAGTGCAATCATCTGTTAACAGCATGACGTGATGGAAAATATGCAAAGTACCACATGAAAAATAGTAAATGTTTCACACTGTTGGCTCACAGTGTATGTATTGTAGGTTTTGCTTTCACGTTTTAAAATAAAAAATATACTACTGATTAGATTCTGTCGGGTACAGGCAATTGTTATTTAGTACATTTAGAGCAACAAGAAGGATCTATGCAAAAATGTGATTTGTCTTAAAAAAGGAAAGGCAAATTAGACTATCTTTGCTACACTACTACAACATTTATTAAATAATAATCATCATTGCAATCTAGTAGCATGTACTCAATCTACTGTATGGAACATAACAGACTGTTTTACAGATGGACTGGGGAAGTAGACAAAATCAGAACGGAGACTATGAGATTATAATTTACATTCTAAGCCCCTGGCTAAAATAAATATCATGAGGGGATTATGCTGTAGTTATTTTTTTCCACAGAAAAGTGTCTTGTTCTTTGCCAATCTCTCATTATGCATGTTTGTTTCTCATTCTGCGACAGCAAATATGATGCCACACTACAAGTTATCAAAGAGTTCAGGAACAATGAAACAGATTAAACAGATTTAGAATCTCAATTCAGTAAAAATAACAAAACCACACTAAACTAACACAATCAAAGATATGGTGGCCAAAGACCAGCTTTGAAAACCCACCTGAGAAACAGTCGCAGTTGGGATCTATTTTGCAGTCACATTCTGTTGGTGCTCCTGCTATAATCGAGATCTCTCCATTTGTTGTGACTTGCTGAATCCGATTGATCTTTCTCTCATCGGTCTCAGCGATATAGAGTACTCCATGGTGAGATACACTGATAGCTTTTGCTGATTCCAAGGTGGAATGGACAGCGGCCTTGCTTACAAGGTAATGATCAATTCCAGGTACCTGACAATGGATTGGCCTTCCCGCCACTATTCTAACTTGATTGCTCTCTGACACCTGCATCACAATGTTGTTGTCCAGGATGTAGAGCGAGTTATCCATTGGGTTTATGGCTAAATCTGTAGGCCACTCAAGCCGAACCTGAAAGAAATATGCAATATATTAAAATAATAATCTTATGCGTTCTGTACTGTACAGTATATATAATTCCATGTGATTTACTGGAGTATCGTCCAGGGTGTGTCCTGCCTTGCGCTTGTTGTGTGCAAGGATAGACTGCGGCTCACCCATGACTCTATCGTGGATAAATTAGAAAATGGAAGTACGTATGGATATAAAAATAAATAGAGGCACTTCTGTACAAAATGTGTGAGATGTTCATCTCTCCCCTTCACTGGAAACCGGGATCAAGCCCTGGACAATAGAGGTAACATTTACATGCTCAAATCAATTGAAACCCCCAGCCTATATAATAAGAAATTGCATTTATTTTAAGCATTTATATAAAAGAAAAAAATGTATGGGTTTTTTTTTGCATATTAATAGGACAGACACTTGATTGTCTGATAAGATGGTTTTATAAGTGTCATTTTTACTCTAGCCCACCTATTTAGAAGTGATCTTATCAGGCCATCTTGAAAGAGCATATCTTAATTTCCTTACCACAATTTGTGGTATGTCTCTCAGGTTAATCATGCATAGCTACTCTGTTTATGTTTTTCTAAACTGTGAAATTGTTCAACCTCCCCTACTTGATGTCATTAACTGTTGAATCCACGTGATTCAGAGCTATGACACATGTGTCAACACCTCAGGGAACAGGACAGAGAATGCTTCTAAGATACCACCTGCCTTTATTTGCAATGTGAGTCCCAGCAGTATTTACAGCAGAGTTAACATTAAATGGTGGACTGATGTTACTCTTATTCACAGGAATAAAAGCTTCACAAAGCTTCTACAAATGTAGAACAAACCACAGGACCTCTGGCGAAGCAAAGCCAACTAGATTCTAGGAGTACTTGGCCAGCACTTGGTGTACCTCTGTTAAGGGAATTCTGCTCACCGATATCTAGACTACAAAACCTGGTATGTATTCTAAATATGGGCCTTTAATATTTTAGCCATTGAAGACCCCTCCAACCTAGAGCTTTGATCTGATTCTCCATCCCATGCTATTCACTCTTGGTTTGAGCAGGATTTTAATTTCTTACATTTCAATGGACAATTTAAACGTTCATTTCCATAATCTAAAATCAAGAGCTTAAGAGCAGGGGTTTAGGGTTGCAAAAACTGTTGTATCTGAAAGAATGGCTTAGGACCCCGGTGTCCTGTCCATATTTCCCATTGGTCCTTTCCTATCATGGCCTCCTTATAATCCCCATCTATGAATTGGCTTCATTACTCTGCTCTCCTCCCCACTGATAGCTGTTGTGTGGTGAACATTTTGGTGCACTGTGTTCCCATTACTTGTAAAGCGCTTTGAGTAGAGTGTCCAGAAAAGTGCTATATAACTGTAAGCAATTATTATTATTATTATTAATTAGCAAAATCATGTGTTTGCAGTCCCCAAAGCTTGAAACAGCTTTCCTGATTCTGACACGTGACACCCTCAGTTTTGAAACAAACAAACAAACAAACAAACAAACAAACAAACAAACAAACAAACAAGCAAACATTATATCCCAATACAAAACGTTCATTCAGGCAAAGAAGACGAAGAAAAAGAAATTACAGATTCCTACAACTACTGGTAATAATTTTGATTTTTTATAAGTACAGTAAGTTTATAAGTATAGCACACTTTCCATCCCTAAAGATTCCAAAGTTCTTCATGAATAGGATGGGACCCACTTAACCCATCAATGAAAGGTAGCACCTACCTAAGTCAACAATTGTTTACCGCCAGACCCAATAGGTGGGAAATAGAGGCGTGTGTACTTATTTCACCAATTGAATAAATGAAAAACTTAAAGATAGCCAGATTGTACAAACAGAAAGTTTAATTTTACCTAAACATGGGTTCAATACCCCCAAAAATACAGCAAGATATTTAGAGACCAAGTAGTATAGCACTGTGTCGACTGTCCCTATACAGTACATTAATTTGGAACTCCTATTTTATAAGGAAACGTTTCTTCTGCTGGTCCTCCAAAGTGTCTTGCAGGGACAAACTGTTTTTACTTAGAGGTCTCCTATCCCAGGAATAACCAGGACCAACCTTGTTTAGATTTTGATATCTGACCAGGCTATGGTATAACAGACAACATGGTAGCAGGATTTGACTTAATTACATATATTACAGCATATCACCATAAGAGTTTGATTTGAATCCCACAAAAACTAACACAAAAATGAAGGCTAAAGTGTAAAGCAAAAGCTTTTTTTATGTTATGTGCTTTTTTAGACGATTACTAGAAGGATGCGTTATATTATATGTCTTGATGGACGCATTAACCAGTGAAATTGCATAGAGAAAACCATAGCTGACCTCTACTGAGATTTATAAACAAGAATGCTATTGTGGTGTGTTCATTCATTATGAATGTGCCATTCAAACAGCTCTATTTTCTTTTACTGCACTGATCCAATAGGCCTCCTATCAAACTTTTATAAATTAAGTGCCTTTTTCCAGCACTTTATCTTGGACCTGTCAGGTTACATCAGAAAGAAGGCCAAGGTAGGTAACCAAATACAAATAAGTGGATAAACAGCTTTTGTGAGATTTTTGAGGGTTCTGGATAGAATTCTCTTAGAAAAGCAAAGGGCCTTTTCAATTTTTAATCATGTCAAGACTTTACTGAAATGTTGCCTGTTTTCCCATATTCAGGTTGTTCAAGATTAATATTGGACTTTTAAGGTAATATTCTTGACGTCGTCGTCATTTTGACCTTTATTAATTTTAACACCTTATAAACTCTGTATATTTGCAAGAAAACTTTTGGAAATGAAATGAGTGACTAATCTTTAAAGACCTGGTTTTGGAATGGCAGTTAACATACAGCATTACAGAAAGTTTAATCTAGGATACAGGTTAGAGTCTAAGTAAAATTATTCAAACATTATGTTATTCTCCATGTCAAAATCAATTCCTGCAGTCAGCAGCTACTTTCTTGGTAACAGAGGCTCTACATTCCGGAAACTGCTGACTGCTATAGGAAAACATTTATTGTCTTTGTATGTTTAGAGGCTATAGGGCTATGTAACAAATGTGAAAGAAATTCTCTTGCGAATGGCTCCCACTTCGTACTCCCAGCACACATGAACCTTCTTTCTTGCTTGTTAATAATATAACATTGTTTTGACAATACATAATGTGGAGCACACATGCAGCCCCTCTGTGTATCCACTCTGCCAGTATAAAGCAGCACAGGCAAGAATCACCATCATTACGAAATGTAGCTATAATACAGTATATCGACACAAACACCTCCTTTTGAATTCATCTCGAGCATCTCTCCACCTACAGTAGCTGCTACCCCTTCTTTCAGTCCTTCTCAATGAGGTTCAAGCCTCCTTGTCTAATGGTCGGGAGGCTACCCATTAACCAAGTGAGTTACGCTAAATCTACCTCACCAAGTATTCTAAACATTCACAAAGCATTCAGTTCTTGGATTTTGTTGTCCTTAGTGAAATAATATAATGCGTTTTAATGTCAGGGAAACGTCCAGAAAAACACATTAGTGAAAACTGTGATTTAACAGTATAAATATCGGCCTTCTTCAGAAAAGAGTAATTGGTCTTCTAAAACCCAACTTTGATGAAAATAGAAATCAGAGGTGAGTTCTGTCTCTATTAAAATGTTCAGACCAATAATGATAGAACATTTTGGACTTATTTTTGTCCTTGACTTACTGTGTTGCAGCAGTCATGCTGAGTAGTAGTAGACACAGTAGCAGTGCAATAGTTGTGGTCCATAAGCTCATATTTTAATATGCATTTTTGTAACCTGCTCTTTTTATTGAGTAAAGGAACAAGTAATAGGTTTATTCCATGAATAAACCTATTACTTGTTCCTTTGCAGCCTACGCATGCTGACGCAGCTACCCACCTGAACTACAACCTTTTTATTGAGTGTTACAGATTTAATACAACTGTGTCTAATTGTTTTCTGGGGAACTCCGATGAATCCAGTGTTGATGGAACATACTGTTTCTCTTTTCAGAAGCTGCTTTGTTTTTTTAATTCATAATATTTCAAAATAGTCACAACCTATGTTACCTATACCTAACATTTAATATTTTATAAAACCATCTAACTTATATAATAATTATGACACAAAGAGGTTTCAGATACCTACTGTATATCTAATATATATATATATATTAAATATATATATACCGATAGAAAAAAGAAATGCAACATTTTCTGGAATGAGAATACTATAGTTATAGTTTATGTACTTTCACAAAATGTTGTTAATTTGTTATAAGCCCTCTGACCAGCAATACAGCTTGTTAAATGAGGCATTGCAACTTGCCAGTCACACGAAAGCTTGTAGGTGTACTTTTACTCAATGAGGTCCAGGTGGAACTATGCCTGATCAGGTCACCTTTAAAAAGGCCTTAATTCAAAGCTTAGGTCACTGCAAGAAAAAGGCCACACTTAGTCAGTTTTCTGTGCATTCCATAATGCCTCGAATATCACCAGAAGCAAGGGAGAGGGCCATTGGCATGCTGCAGGCACGCATGTCATGTACCAGAATTGCCAGACACTATGAGAGACTATGAGAGAAGGTTTCATCAGACCTGCAGGACAGATGACCGTCCAAGGTCCGGTCGTCCTTGAGTGACCACACCAGAGCAAGACCGACACATCAGACTGGTGCATCTGAGAGATCATTTCAGATCTGCCACCCGTACTGCTGCTGAAACTGTCGGCAGACACAATGCCCGCATCAGTGACAGGACAGAGAATTCCATTGTACCAGTACCAGTTACATATGGCAATAAAGTTCAAGTTCAAGTTCAAGTTCAGTGAGGCTCTATGTTTCACGCCCTCTGCAGCCAGAGGGCGCTCCTCTGTCCTGTCTCTCATTTCCGGTTCTTTGCTGTCCTTCCGGTGTTTCTCTCTCTCTGGGGCTATATATTTCCGGGTCTGCCTTGGCTCAGCATTGACGTTCGGATGTCCTGAAACCCGCCTAGCACCAGGTCGCCCCATGTCTGCAACCTGAGGGCATAGATTTCTGTACGGCATTCCCTGAACAGCTGAGCCCGGGCTAACCCCCGTCTCGCCACTAAGCATAGGGTCTTTTTGCTCTCCTGTCATTCCACGGTTCGTCCCTTCCGACATCCGTGACACTATGCTGCTGGCCTTAGAGCAAGGCGACCTGTCAGACGCCCTCTGCTCACACCTCCTAGACGTCACACCTTGGCTTGGGCCAGACATAGGCTATGATGGACTCATCGGGCAGTTGCATCAGGTCCTCTTCATGGTGAGTCTCTCTTTAGCCTGTTCCACCCAGACGGGAGGGCCAGAGTGTGGAGGAGGAGGTGTTGCGTTTCTTTTTTCCATCAGTATATATGACCGATATATTAAATGATTAAATTTATTAAGTTCTGTGAAGCATTTACAGTACTGCACCAGACCTTATTTGAATGGCAAAATAGAATTATTAATCTTTTTTATATTTGAAAGTAGGCGGATAACATTGGTAGGAATCTGTAATCTATGCAAAGGGATGAATGTATGTTCATGTATGTAACATTTATGTTCTTTTAGGTTACTGTGTGGTGCTAGGTTTTTATGATTTGTCATTATGCATTTAATTAATTAAATCTCAGTGTTGATAAGATATTAATTTTGGGAATAAACCAAGAAGATAATACAGGAAAACTACAACCTAGAGAATCAAAAGAACAAGATTTTAGGTGAAACATAAAATATGAATAAATAAGTGCAGCATGAATATTAAATCACCCATCATACTATGTTTGTATTCTTTCAAACCACCCATACTGGAAAATATATTTGTCTTTTGTCACAATACCTAGCAATGCTATTTTCTCTAAATAACAATTAGATACAACTATAACTATATGTAATTGAAAACACTCCAACACTACAAATGGTAGTTTCTTTAAACTGCTAAATAGTGTCCACTATTTCAAAAAATCTTTGGAAATGTTCTGTTTCTTTCAAATATCATGTTTTAAAAATGTATAATTGAATCTGAGCTTGAGGACCACAACAGCAAAAATGCTATCCTTCTATAGTCTCAGCTGAAGTATGATAGTGGTAGTAAAAGAACATTAGAACATATCAAGGAAAAAAAAAATAGTCCCACTTGCACTCATAATGGATGACTATCAGTCTGAATGATAAAACAGTTCTTCTGTATGGATTTATGTGTTCACGTTGGTTCATTTCTCTTTCCCACATGATTTTTCCCACCTAAAATTCCCTTAAATGTGGGTTAATGTGTTCTATTATTGTGGCTTCAAGTAACTGCAGGGTATCACTTGGCAGTCACTGGGAAGGTCAGCCAGCCTCAGCATTTTAAAAGTTTCTATGAGTGCTTAATAAAGGTAGGTTTGTTTTGTGAACCTCTATTTAACAAGGGGCAGACTAAGAAAAATGGCTCATAGATCAGATGATTCTCTATTTAGCGTCTCTGCAGTTCAGAAACCTGGTATCGCTTGGGAAAGGTTTCTGCCTTACAGACAAAGTCAGAGGGTAGTGCCAATATATTATAAAGAAAATGTTCTTAAGAAGAATAAACAAATCTACCTTCTTAGCTTTCAAGAGAGTTCAATTTGACATCACATTAACAATGTGAATGTAACAATGTCAATAACTCCACAATTGTGATTAAATCATTTATAAGCACACAATATAATGCTGTCAGAGCTCTGACAGTTCAATGAACCAAGATTAGAATGTTTGTTAAGTTTTTAACAATTTTTATCAGTACTGCCACATTTTTAGATGCTAGCAACTAAGGTTTTTTTCTGAGGAAATTTGAAATGAGAACTTTTAATAACATGAATAATATCGGTCTTTGAACAAAAACCAATAACATAAAATCATGTTACTTATTTAAATAAATAAGAATTGTTGTTCTATTTTTCCAATGTTATGTAACAAATAAAATGAATTTCTATAAATTATTCACTAAAATATCTTATCATTAAATGAAAATACATGATTTTTATAAGCTTGATTTTATTTAGATTTTGCTTTTAGAAAGAATATGTTCAATTCTGTGTGTATCCTCCTTATGTTATATAGATATGCATGCTCTTGCTAGCCTTACAAACCATTCTTTAATTAAACATTCATTTAATTCATGAAAGAAGATGTACCATAGAAATATTGTGTTTTTACCACCATATTTTTTAAAGAACAAAACAGGTTTGGTTGCTTCTAGTACTCAAACAAACATTTTATGCATTTTATGTGTCTTGTTCATCACTTTATTCCACTTACTGAGGTGCTATTTAGAAATAATGAATGAGGAACAAAATCAAACGTTTCAGACAGAAATAACTATGTTCTAACATGAAAATCTTCTTCATTTTGGAGTGCTCTGCAAGTAGCAGACACATTAACAGCAGTCTGGGGAAATGAGTGTCACAGTCAACGTTTTATAACAGTCACGTCCAGGCCTTCTAGCCGAAAATGATTTTGAGTCACTATAATAAGATGAATATTAATGTGTGTATCTCAGGCACTGACTGAGGCTGTTTACCTGAGTGATGTCCATTCTGGAGTCGCAGCTGAGTGGCTGAGTTGATGTCAGGCCATTGGAACCAATCACTGTTGTTATTATTCCTTTCTCATTAATCTTGCGAATCATGGTTCCATCAACAAAGTATACAAAACCTCTTTTGTCGACAGCAATTCCTAGAAAGAAAAATGGAAGAGAAATACATTAAAAATGATGGGTAAGGTTTTATTGGATGCAGGTACTATGTTAGATTAATTTTATGACAGTTTAGGGACCAGCGTAGACTGTTCCATGGTTCATCATCTGGAGTAGCTTAAACAAGTATGGATTCTTATTTTTTTATGAGTCTTTTACATTTTTTGGGAGAAAAACAGAAATACAACATTAAATTATTTGTGTTTAAATTCAGATCTGCAAAATGAAACTTCTTTAAAATTCAAAGAGTCTCTCTTTGAATTGCATCATGGAATAAAACCATTAATAATGTGCTTTTCAAGTTATATCGAGAAAGACATATCGACGTGGTAGTGACTCCAGGTTTCAAATGAACAAATATGCCATGGGTAAACTAAATAACCCCAAAGGACTATTCTAATTTAAATATGCAAGAATAATTCCAGTTCTTGTTTACTGTGAGATCAGTGAGTCACAAAGGCACCACAAAAACAGCATTTAATAACATGCAGTCACTTTTGCTGGATGCTGCACCTTGGTGGTGGTGGAGGGGATCCCCATTACCTGTAAAGCACTTTGAGTGGAGTGTCCAGAAAAGAACTATATAAGTGTAAGCAATTATTATTATTATTTTAAAAATGCTTATCTGTCTCATACATTGAAGGTCATCCCTGGCACTTCTATTTCATCCAGCTGCAAGTATTTATTCAAGTTAAATGTCAATGTAGTCTTCAGCACCTAGGTTAATTAAGTAATTAAGGCTCAATCCAGTATCTAATATTTTTGAAGGTTTCATGTCTTATAATGACACAGAATGGAAGCTGCAAGATTGACTACTCCTGGTCTAACAGGTACAACTTTCATGTATTTTTTAAATGTTTGATAAAAAGGTGCCCTTATAAAATATATCATGTATATTGTTACAGCTTTAGGAGACTAAGAAGTGTCTCTTAAATTTTAGATAAAGTTTGTGACACTGGGAAGAGTAAACACTTCAAAGGAGAGAGGATGTTTGCCGAGGTCTGGGGGCCCCTTGAGCAGAAACAATTATAAAGTTTATCTTAGTATACCTAGGGAAGTGCTGGGTTAATGATTGGCAAAGAGCAGTACAGACACACACAATATAAGATCACATGAAGAAAAAGAGGAAGAGAAAAGGGCAGGAAACAAGGAGAAGAGAGAGGGTTCTGGAGGAGTTGGGATTTGAAACTTGCGCCAGGTGAGAGGCTCTGCTTCATGATCATCCAAATGAAACCTGACTGGAGCTACAGTAAGTATTTGAACCTTGTTAGGAAGAGCGTGCTTTTCTGTGTTTTTATGGAACTTACAGTAGATCTCCTGGATAAGAGATACCTTAGGTAGAAATGTCTTTCCTGCATAGGGTGCAATTTTATGAATAGGGATATAGGCTCCCATTTGTTTTGTGGCATCTGGGGTGCATAGAGATTTAACTGCAGGTTACATTGTATTTAGTTAGAAGGCAGCTCATCTCTTATGTGGCCTCGGTAGACATTATGAGTTTAATGCTTAGTAGCAGTCTGGAGTTTTCTGGGTGACCGGAATGTTTGGCCTCTGAAACACCTTGTTTGTAAATACTGTACATAAAGTAACTTGTGCGTTGTATGTTGTGTTTAGTGTAGTTTGTGTTTTGTTATTGTAATAAATATTTGCTTTAACCAAGTGTGCCAGGATTATTACTCCTCTCAATAAAGCTGTGCCAAAGAATAAGTAATTCAGGTACCTCTAATTATACTAGCCACTCTGGTATATTGCTAGAAATAAATTGGGGGTTATGAATAATTATTTCACTGATTGACTAAGCTGCTCGGTCAAATACTGATTTTCGTAACCCTATAATATTAAATAGTTTTTTACAAAACAAACATTTTTGTGTAAAAAATACATTGTGTATATTATAGTCTTTATTTTATCATTTTTAAATAGTGCCAATCATCACTTTTAATGCGTATAGTATGTCAATAAAGCAACTGACTAAAATAAACAAGTATTCCACATATGATTTAATAAAATCAGTCATTTGAATAGTAACCATTTACATGTTATAGAATAATATCTTATTGTTTAAATATTAAGATCTTCCAAACATTTAACACTTCTGACTTAATTATCAGGTGATTGCTCGATTGGCTGGTTTTAACAGGTTTCATCCATTTCTAAGGTAAAATAACAAGTCTGAAAGAACCTGTACAAGATTTTCCTCTACCAGACCATAAAAAGGACAGGATGTGTTTGGAAAATGACATTCTCAATAACCGGTAGTTCTGAAAGAAATTGCAAAGCCCATTAGTCTTTCAAGGTTGGCAGAAGTAATGCCCTACTAATGCAATCCCATGCTGACAGTAGAGGGTAAAGGTACACACTGCATCAGCATAGACAAATGTGAGGCACTCTTGGCTAATCAATAGTAATTCTACTAGCTTGCATTATTTTAGAAGAAAAAATATTCACAAAAAGTATACTGTGACTTTACAGATGAGATAATTTAACAATGTACAAAAAAATCCAATTGACTTTGTGTTTTTCAGGAGTACTTTTCCAAAGATGGAAGATGCTAAACTATATTCTTTCTTTTAACATCCAATAAACTCCATACTCAGTCATGAATAGGTTTCTGATCATTCATCAGAACAGGATTTGCACTTGGGGTGACTTAATAATTTTCTTCAACCTTTATGTTTATGCTTTGAGAGTGGCATGGTGTCATGGTGTCACAACATAGCACGTGGGAAATTATTTTAGATGTACAGTAACTATTACTTCCTTT